AATTGCTTATTATATACCCTGATGAAGTTTCATTGTGCGCCGCGATCTACAAGATGAACTAAAAAAGTCCAAACTACACCTAATACAGTTTTTCCAATAATTGGCTTATTTTGCGCCCTCTAAGGTTCAAACTGATTTCAAATATGAAATCAGCATTGCTTATTATATACCCTGATGAAGTTTCATCGTGCGCCGCGATCTACAAGATCAACATAAAAAGTCCAAACTACACCTAATACAGTTTTTCCAATAATTGACTGCTTTTGCGTACTTTTAGATTAAAAATAAGTTAATATATGGAATCAGCATTGCTTTTTTAGTATATAAACAATCTTTCATCATGAAATTCTGCTTTTTCGTCATCAAGTTTCATTATTTCTCTACCATGAATTTTCTTTGTTTTTTTCGTGAATATCTTACGAACGGTACCTCGGATCAAAAAATGATTTAGATTTTCAAAATCAGCATAAAAAAATACATTAGAAAAAATACGCCCTGAAGTGTTCTGAAAATAGGCAACTTTTGACATCCTCCTTAACCAAAATCAACCTTAAAACCAAAGAAATGACTTGAAATGACATTCTATGGATGTGCCTTACAAAGATTTCTGATTGTCGGTAAGATTCTGGTAAAAAGCCTGATTCATCATTGTATATGTAATATATTGAATTAAATCATGCATTTTATCAACTGTTGGAGTGATTAACGCCAATTGAATATCATTAAGCTATAACTAACTTCAATTATTATAATAATATATAAACTAGTACCAAGCAGACAAGTTTTTTTATGAAATCAGATACGAGGTTTCATTGTTTCTATCACATATTTTGTATTGATTGTGCTAAATGAGCTAATTAAATCTTTCTTGATCTTTATCAAATAATATAAAAGTATGCGAAACTCGAATTGTTTCCATTCAGTTTTATATGTTTGTTGAAAATTGTGTGATTACCATAATAGAACTAAAATAAAAGTAAAATGAATTTCTTGATCATTTTAAGTGCCATCTTTTGTCTCTCACCCATCAGTGCTGCTCCAACCGAAGGTAAGACTTTTGCTAACCTAATCTTAGCCTAGTCTTGTTAATGTTGTACCGTTTTTACAGGACCAACTCCACTTGCCAAAGCCGCTGTCGAATTTAATCGGAGATTCGTTAATGAATGGGAACAAATGGTTCCTGGTTAGTTAATAAGTAAATGCTTTCTTAATAACATTAAAAAACTTTGAATTCTCAATTTACAATTCTCAGGTTGGGATTCAAAAGCTTCACTTCAATCAAATCTTATGGCTCTTCTCTCAAGACCTTTTGACAACAATATGGTTCCTGGTGAGTTTTATCAACTTTTGTGTCCAATCACAGATTACCTTTATGTTTGAATTGTTATATCAGCATGGAACCCAGATATCAGTGCCAAGGAAAATTTCGAAAAGTACATTGTTCTTCTTGACGTCGAAGGTAAATATTTTCATTTGATTTTATTTGATTACAACAACATTGTTTAATTACATCTTTAGGTTTAGCTAGAAACAAATCTGTTGTTGATAATATGGCACTGATTGTTCAAAAATACTTCAATAAATTGCCGATTCCAAGTAAGTATTCATAAGTACAAATGATTTCAGTCGAATCTCATTTTAATTTCATGTTTCATTATTCATCTACAAATGATCAGTGTTTTTCCCGAAAAGTGAAATCGAAGAAAAGATTGTCGATGAAATGACTACGTTTGTCACAGAACATTTTGATCGTAAGTAAATAGTTTTAAGAAAATTTATACAATTTCTTTATTTATAATATTACATAATAATTTCTTATATTTTGATTCTCTGTTTCCATTAGATAACATTAAAACTGAGACTCTTGACCAAGCTGTTAATGCTTGGCTCGATAGTCTTGATATTAAAAGTAAGTACAAGTGTATTGTAATAGTGTGTTATATTTTACTGATCAATTGAACTTTTTTCATGTTTTCAGTTTCGGATCCTAAAGACTTCATCAAAAGCACTTTAGAGACAATTTTTGCCCAAATTTCCTTTCCTGGTTTCAGTTCTGATAAAACTTTGCAAGATAATGTGGTTGGACTAACTGAATTTATTTTTCAAAAAATTGACTTTTGAACTTCCATGCCTGTATGAAATATTATCAAAATGATGATTCAATAAACCTTATAATTTAAGCATAAAATAAGCTAAACTCATTTCTTTATTAATACAATTTACAATTCTATATGAGCATACAAAACTGAATGAAAACAATTCGATTTTGTCCCGCTTATAAGCAAAGTATCAATCTTGTATCATGGAAAGCGATTAAGCTCAACTCTTTTATTTAAAATCTCTTTCAGTAAATAAGTGTTTTTTCATGGCGTAAAACAGCACCACTAATGTCACCCCGTTTTGCAAAAAACAGATTCAATTAGAGCAATTATCCAAGCTTTGGAAACGTGCCCAATCCAATAATAATGTTTTGAGACATATAAGGCCATTCTCTGTAGCAAAACTGAACTCTTTCCGTTTCAGTCTTTCCCAAATCATCAATGTTCAATATCATTGCCGACTTGCTTTCTTGGAATGGTTTCCACTTAGTTTCACCAACCATTGGAGGCTCACTGTAAATAAATAATGAATCAGTCATTAGATGGATCACTCAATGAAATGAATAAACTTACCCATTTTCAGCAAAATGAGTCCAAATTTTCATCATTTCACGAGTCAATGAGACATCTCTCTGTGAACAAGCAGGATTTAGCAGATTTATTCCGAAACCGTAAGGCACATCAGCTCCATGATAGATTCCTATCCATTCAGGCATAATGTCGACTGGCTTTTGAGTGTGATAATAAGCATACTATACTTTACCGCCCTGTTTACCCAAACTAAAAGCGTATTGAAGTCTTAACTCATAAGTCGGACAAATGAAGGTAACATCACTGTAAGCTCTTTCAAGTTGAAACCTGAAATCTGAATTGTTAGTTTCAGGACCAAAGTAGAGTTCACGGTAATAGTCGACTGAATCAGAAGCAAAAATGCGCTTCAAGTATGTTGTAGCTTGTTGATAAGATATTGGCTCAGGGGCTTTTAGATAATCAAAGGCTATGGGATCGACAGTTGTCATGAACAGCGAACCGTCATTTCTTTCAACGCCCAATAGAATGTCAATCGAATTATCAAAGAGTCCTTCTGCAAAAGCTTTGGATGGTTCGTAAGGAAGGAAATCATCGCCCACGGTGAAGGAATATGCTATTGCTTTATCATTTATGTTATTCAGAATTTCAGTTGTTGGCAAATTCTGCATGCATTCAAGAACATCTTTCGATTCTGAACATGATGTTTTGTTGTACAGTTTCCAAGAATCTGTAATCAAGGCATCGTCATTGTGATTCAGGTGAATTGTCCCTGATCCAAGAATAGCTCGTTTAAAAAGTCCTTTTGAAAGGGGAGATAATAAATGAGCAGAGACTGAAATCGAACCAGCAGATTGGCCGAAAATTGTCACGCTATTTGGATCACCGCCAAACTTTTGAATGTTTTCATGGACCCATTTCAAAGCAAGCAGCTGATCCTGCAAACCAATATTTGAAGGAATTCTGGGTTCTTCAGCTCCAAAGTGAATAAAGCCAAATGCATTGAGACGATAATTTATAGAGACGAGTACAACATCATGTAATGCAACAATTGGATGTCCTAAAATAACTCCAGATCCAGCTGTGAATCCACCGCCATGAATCCAGAAAAGTACTGGTCGTTGTTTGACTGATGAACTATTGAAAGTTGATTCAGTAACATGAACATTTAGATAGAGACAGTCTTCACTGGTTTCTTGTATACTCGGCATGACATGTGGTTGAAGACAAGCTGGACCTGAATCAGTCGCTGATTTAACCTCTTTCCATGGGTCTGGTTTAACTGGTAACTGTAACCTCAACTTACCAACCGGCGGCTTTGCATATGGAATACCAAGAAACTGGTAAACACCAATCGATTCATATTCGATAACTTTACCTTGAATAGGGCCACTAGTCAAATTAACTATTGGAGTTGCATCGAGCCCATAAATGGGGGAAAAAATTAAACAGAAAACTACGAAAGTATTCATTTCAATATACAAAGTTTGTTATTTTTGCAATTAAATGAAAAAAACACAATTCAAATCCAATTGTTATTGCACGTTTATATATTGTATTATCACAAATTAATCATTGAATTTCAATCGAGAGACGGAGACGGAGAAAATCCGAGAAAACAATAGATTCTAAAGGGTGTTGCGCGTTATTCTTGCCAGTTATCTTATCTCAATGGAGATTTATAAGATTTCCATTGGACATCTTCATCTTTATCAGTTGTTTAATCTCCATTCGGATGAGATAACTGGCAAGAATAACACGCAACACCCTTTAGTTTTGACTAGATTTATTGAACAATAAATTTTAGTACAAAAGTGTTGGGGAAATTCACTTGAATTTTCAATTAGGTCGATTTGATTGCATTTTAAGATGTCATGCTACTGCATCAAAAATATTTGTGATTAAGCAGATTATCTTAATCACAAATAGTTTAGATAAAGTGGCATAATTTGCTTATACAAGTTATGAATCATTGTTATTGTATGAAAAGAGTAAAGAGATAGCTTTCCATAGGAAACAATGGCAGGTGAGTTAGGCGAGATTTGGGTGGATGTAATCACATTAATTTCAAGTAAAGCCTGTTATAAATTGATCTTTTAACGTCTATCACAGCATGTGGATATAAACTCGAGGGCGAAGTCTGAGTGTTTATTTCATAACCAGAGAAAGGCAAAGAACAATCTTGATTAAAAAATATTCTTAAACTATTTTTTAATCCAAATCATACTTGCATTTTTAAGCATAAAACCCAGTTTTTTCATTTTTAGATATCTTTCTCTTACGAATTCAGTTTTCTGGTTGTAAAGGGTGTTGCGGATAAAAATTGGAGATTATCTTACTTTAAATTATGATAAAAATGAAGATAACAAAATTTAAATAAGAGACAAAAGGAAAATATGTAAAAATTGCTTTTCGTCAGAGATTTTTCTTAATCTAAGGTAAGATAATTTCCAACTTTTATCCACAACACCCTTTAACTAGTTATTTTTTTGTTTTTTCTGGCCAAATTGAACAATCTAACAACCGTCAATAGTTTGCAGTACTGCCTCTGCATTTCCCCCTTGTCTCTATTTTCACGAATTTCTCAGAAACCTAAACTCGGAGAAAGTTCTGACTATTTTTTGTGGATGTAGTTTAATCATGACTTTCATGTAACGGCTAAATTTTCTTTAGAACCCGCTCAGTTTGGCTCCAAGTTGTGCGCAGAAATTGGTGTTTTTTACTTTATATGCATATGAATGGATGTATGGATGCTAATTTGCCTCATTCAATTGAAACCTAATCACCATTAAATAGACAAATTATTAAGCCTTAAAGCTGACAAGAGTTTCAATTTAAAGTATCAATTTAACATGATGATGATGGATAATGCAAATTGTTTAACCGGCGTTTAACTGTATATTTACAACAACAGTTTCTTAATACTTTGATCATGAATTTAACTTTGATTAATCAAGTACAGGGTTAACCGGTGAAGGTAAGAAAAATCAACTTTTAAATTACAATCAAAATGATCATAAAATAAAGTTGATCATTATAATTATGATTGGGCTGCGAAAATGTTTTCATTCAATTTTGGGTAAAATGAAAAGGTTGAAGTTGAGTTACCCAAAAAAAGTGATACAAGATTCAACCTTTTGCCATTTGAAGTGAATTAAAATTAACCTTAAGCTTGATTAAATGATGATACAATTTTACCTTAAAAGTGTTGCATATATTTAATAATGATTATTTAAAGGTTAAGAGGATTGAATGAAAATTTAAATATAAAGATCAACTTGATTTGAAGGGTTTGCAATTTGTTAACAAATTTCATCTTCTTTTCAGTCAATCTGGAAACATTTTCATTTGAATGGACAGTTGATTGATTCAAATATAATTGACGTTTTATGTGATAATCAAATTGACAATTATATGAATTTATGAAAGTATATCAAAAGGCAAACTCGCCTTATTGTCACCTTAAGCATTGATGTTCATTTTGATTTGAAAAATCTTTCCTCTCAAACTCGCTATTTTTCACTATTTATCAAATTATTGTTTTTATTATTGCTGTTTAAATATCATTTTGTTGGATCATTGAACTCATTTGGCTTTAATTTTCAACCAATATTAAGTATCATTTTAATGGTTGATTATAATTGATAAAAAAATGTGTCTGACTTACTTAATTGATCCAACCTGAGGCTGTTAATTTTTTGCAACAACTTGATGCTTCTTTTTGTATGATCATCATTTAGATATAATCATCTAATGAGTAAGACAATGATCAATGTTTATACATTAATTGAGAACTTGAATTAAACCGCTTGATTAACTTACAATCTGCAACTTAATTTTCATTCAATTCAAAAACTGCCCAATTCAAGTGCAAAAATGAAAATAAAATTTTTGCTCAACTTTTTTTGGTTTTGTTAACTCTTATTTCCATCAATAGATGGCATCACTAACAACGTGTTCTTTACCGGTTTGATTAGATTTATTGTAACAAGTTTTGCATATTTGTACTTTGGAGAGAACTAAATGTAACTGTATCAAAGTAAACCGATTGGTTAGATTCGTACACATAGCCATGCTCCATGATATTTTCAATAACATAGACAATTTGTGGGATTTATCGGGCGTTTTTTTATTATTTTACGCCTTCACGCAGGCATAACTCATAAACCGTGCTACAGACCTCAGACTTGAACCATGAGATTATGCAGATTGCACAACCATAAGTTTGAACGCTAGAGGTTATTCAAGGTCTATTCTTTATTTGACCTCTAATTGACATTGAAAGGTCATTTTCTGAAATCGCCAAATTTTTCTAGCCCAATTATATTAGTTACAAGTACATAACTGTTACCATCTGTAAGATAAATGCGCGATTGAGTAACTTGATGGTATGGAATCACTCATATCCTTTAGCCAGTATGAGTTTCGAGAGTTTCTTCAATATTTAGACCATCAAAACTTTACAACACAAATTAAGCATTTCGAAAAAATTAGACTACATCTTCATAGAATGAAATACTCATTATTCTCTTGATTAAATGTTGCATAAGGTTCTACAGTTACGTTATAAATCCAGATAGGACTTACGTTAAAAACGAAACCGGCCAAATGAAACATAAGTAATTGATTACGCTGGCAATGGGCTAGAGATAAACCAAAGGCAAATGCCGATAATCTCCTATAGACTCCTCGAGTTGTTGGTAAATCGCTTCTTCATTTACCGGGAGCCTAATGATCAGGTTCGGTTCTGGTCGCCTTTGACATGATATTTATACGATATTATTGGAAAGATCATTTGACAAAAATTATGATTTACAACATTGGAATAATAGAAATAGTGATTATTACACTATTAAACTGGCAAACTGAGAACCCTCCTGAAGTTGAATTCAACTATGAGGCTGAAAAGGAATGAATACTGAAAAACGAGAGGAAAAGAGGAGAGACGAGATGAAAAAAGTTGGGAGAGGAAATCATCATCCAGTTTCCACTAGATACGTGGTTTTGACAGTCAAATAAACACGCTATTAAAATTGACTCAATGTATGGATATTAAGATGGATTTATTGTTTTCTTGTCTCTTTCATTTCACACCGGTTTATCTCTTTACTCAACCACCCACAATTGAATAATACCGGGCGTTTTTTCGCCTTCATGCAGATATAACTCATGAGTGGTTAGTGCTACAGAACTCAGACTTGAACTATAAGCTTATTCAGATTGAATAACCATAAGTTCAGACGCTCAAGGTTATTCAAGTTCAATTCTCCATTTGACCTCTAATAACTCATAATATTGGAAAAAAATGAATTTTTCACAATTAACTGAACTTTATGGAATCACTCATATGATTCAGCTAGTATAAGTAATGAACATGTGACTAACACTATCGCGTCAGAAAAACTTTGAGATCTCAGAAAATGACCTTTCTATGTCAATTAGAGGTCACATAAAGAATTGACCTTGAATAACCTTGAGCGTTTATTTGGTTATCAAAACCACGTATCTACTGGAAACTGTATGATGATGAAGAGGACCATAATTTAGTTTGTAAAATTTTAAATCATTATTCACTTATAATATTATGTGTGAATAATGATTATATTCATTATTCACATAATGAATAATGAATATAATCATAATACTTATCATTTATTGTAGCGATTGTGATCGTAAATTTCTTTCACTGAATCAAATCCAATCCAAATTTAAAATTTGAACCTTGGTTGGCTGCAGGTATAAAACTGATTTACTTATCCTTCTAATGCAACAATAGACCATCAACCTGAATAATTATAAAGTTTTTTCTCTTAAGTCAATAGTGAGAGATACGGATTCTGCATTTTTTCCATCAGTCTATTTGGAAGCTAAGCTCTCAGTAAACTCTATTCCGAAAAAGCTCTTACTATTTATGCAGTTTAATCATGGTTTCAGGCTGCATAAAATTTTCTTTAGAATCCTTTTAGTTTGGCCACAATCTTTACGCAGAAATTTCATGTTTTGACTTTATATTAATATATTGTGTAGATTCATTTTGATTATTTGTTTATTATGGTTCAAATTACTTTTAATAATCCGTGTACCTGGCAATTTCATCAAATAATAGTTTGATTTGTACCCATTTGGGTCCAAAAAAATCAAGGTAAGTCTGTGGCTATTCTTAGTGGAATAGCAAAATTGCCTTTCTGTTTGAGGAAATGGGTGCTAAAAAGCAAAATCACGAATTTGTCTTCAAAATTCACCTTTTGAGAGGTTCATCATAACTCTAACTCATAGAATACCTTAATGAGAGAATCCTACAAATTCCCTCCCAGAACTATTATAACTTAAAAATAACCCTTTTCTCAATCACCTGTTTTTTGCCACCAAAATTAAAGCAAATTCAATTTACTGAAATAAATTTTTGCTTCCCGATCAACCTGAGTTATTAATAAATACACTCAAACCAAGACTTAGACATCAGCTAGACAACCCACAAACAGACAACTCATACTAACTCGAACTTGAATGAAGCTGAAATTTTTTGAATTTAACTGAACACTTTACAAGCCTGGCATAATATTTAATTTATGAAAGATACTCCAAATGAAACTACCAAATATATTAGCTTCTTTGATATTTTCTAATTTAACCATTGTAATTTTGTATTGTAATTTAAACTCTTCAACACTTTTACTAGTATATTTCCCCTTCCAGTAGCATAAGCCGTCTAGTGGTCCAGCCGAGTGCATTCGCCCGTTACTTTTCCCTTAACGAGAGTAGCCGTCTGTATACCTTATTCCTGTGATTGAGTGAAAACGCCATAAAAACTGAAGAGGAAATTAAGAAAATTTTATCTTCTATCTGACAATTAATTAGTAAATTGTTTATTAAAGATGGAGCTATCATCAAATATATCATCAATATTCAGTTTCGCCGAAAATTAAAGTTTATTATGAATGGATATTTAATCAATAAACAAGATGCAACTTCGGTATACGAATAAAATGTGAATAAAATTCAAAGTTGAACATTAAACTGAACTAAGTTTTCAGGGGAAAAGAAAAGAAATAAAATGTTGGAAAACATGGAAATCGTTGATTGAGGGAGCAATTTTTAAGGTAAGGATTTTATCCAATGTTGATGTTGCATGATGATAACTTGAACCAACTTTTCATGACTGAAGATATAAAAAAACCTGCAACTCAGTTCGCATGTGTCAATGAGTCACATGATTCACTTCTTCTATTTCCGCCATTTTCCATCATTAATCGTGTTATCCATCAACTGTTATCAATCTTTCCCTGTAACTCCCAGGATACAAATAATAATAGTGATAATATAATAAGTAAATTAATATAAATTTGCCGTTTTTCTTCTTCTTCTCATCTTACTCTACATTTTATTTCCTTTACTACAGTTTAACATATCAGTGTTTTCACATTTTTTCACATTGGCCATTATGTTTGTTGTATTTACACTGGTTACAGGGAATGAAAAAGGATACCAAAAATGGTTAAACTACCGGTTCCAAGTTGACCATGATTGTTAACTAATTATCAATGTTTGTTTTCGCCTTGATATGGATTAGATGAAAAGTGTTGAAACAAATGTCCAAATCAATGGTTCGTTGAAATATATATATTTTGGTTAATCTTGTAAAAAATTTAATCTCAATTGAATATCAAGTAAGAAAAGGATAACATTTGCGTGAAGCAAGAAAAGGAACATCAAAATGAATCAAAGTAAGTAAACATTTTATATTCAACTTGATGTACATTTCAAGCGAACTCATTTTCATATTGAAATTGCTTTTTCAGTTTCCATTTTTTCTTGTTTTCATCTATTTAAAATGAACAATTTACAAGAATTTGAAATGATTGAATTTGAGAAATTTTTCTCTTCTTTTCTTTTGTTATTTTTAAAATGAAATTTGTCTTTTTGCATTGAAGATGATGCCAATTATCGTTGGAGGACAGGTAAAGATGTTGGTCCAAGTGGTCCACGAACGGTTCGTTTTCCGATGGGCACTCCGTCATGTCACTCATCCGGAAATCAGTTGAATCAATTGCTGCTCTCGTTGAGAGAGTTGATTGAATGGGTAATCAAGAAACGAACCGAGTTGACCTCAATGTCGTCCATTGGCGGTGATGTCTCGACAATATCTAAGCAACTTGAAGAACTGACTCTATTCCGAATGTCTCTTGAAGAGGAAAGGCCAGTCATCGAGACAACCTTAATGTCGGGTCGATCATATCTGTCCAAAGATGATCCTCAAGGTAAGCTTGAAATGAATTGGTTTAACCCAACTCCAACCAAGATTCAGCCTTCAATCACTTTTCATCTCAATTGAACTCATCACCAATTCAAGTGTAGTCTTCATGTTTACAATCATCATAATAATCATGTCACATGTAAATTGGTTGCATAACGCAATCTGAATACATAAAAAATATTCAGGGAAAACATGAAATTCATTATTTTCCTTTTTTTTCATCATTTTAATGTTTCACCAATTGCTGAGGTTGGTGAACCTTGAATGACTATTTTAATCTCAACCCAAAGTCAGTTTTTGTTTTACTAATCAATAGGGAAGCATTTCTTTTCACTCCAAGATTCAACTGGGAGGGAATAATGTTATGTTAATAATGATAACAGGGAATGTTGAAAGTGTTTCATCTTTCCATCCATTTCACCTTTCAACATTTACTCACCATCTTGACCTTTATTTACTTCTTTGTTTCAAGTGCAAATCGTTGGCCTTTAATTCAATTCTAGTCATTCATTACCAATCACTCATTATTGCCCATTTTGTTTTGTATGAAAGCAAAAGGTTATTTTCAGCTTTTCTGTCCTGTTTTTGATTCCTTTGATTAATCGTTTATTTAATGATTTTTGCTGCTTCTTTGCTAAACATTAAATGATGATTATCTTGAAATTTCAATGGTTAATTAACTGAAATGAAAGTTAGTTTTTAAAAGCTGTTAACACTCAATCATAATGGAAATGTTTCCTTTTGTTGACTGCTCATTTAGACGACTCTTGATCATGTTGACAAGATTAATGTGCTAATTGCTAATCAATTCAAGTCTTTTATTAAGTCTCCTCACGAATCTTGTGTTGCTGATTGAGAGTCACTCTACCTTTATGTTTTTACTTGTTTATTATTCTTGTTGGTCAATTGTCTTGTTCAATCAAAGGTCTTGACCTTAAACAAGAATCATTCATCTCATGTTCAAGATTTAATATTGTTGGGTCAATATTGGTTGGTGAATGTTGATGCAGCGCATTTCAAATGATGACTGATTCCGTTCAGTAACAACAAGAAACTTCATGAAATTGGATTAGGGAAAGGCTATTATTTCACGTTTCAACCATTCATTTCTTTCAATGACAATTATTCATTGATATTAGAATGGCAAAGGGTCACAGCAACGGAAGTAAAGTAGACAAACTCAGAACAGAAAAGGTTAAAAGATGAAATCAAATGGCAAGTTCAACTTGTATTCAGGTAACTGACGAAAGAAATTTCATCAAAGAAATGGGTTAAAATTCTCATATTAAATCATGTTGAACAACCACGAGATTTAATAAAATATGAAAAGGTGAAAATATTTTGAATAATTACGTTTCTTTTGGAGAGATTTTCACGGTTTTCATTTTTGCCATTTAAGCTCTTATTCAACACATTTCTTGGTTTAAACCCAGAAACAGCTCTAAATTTTAATTTGATTAACATCAAATTTGATTAAAGTCTTTTCCTACAACACTTCGCTTTTATTAATAAATCATAAGTCTTGATCCAATAGTTAAATAAACTGTAGCTTTTCATTCATTGAGATTCAATTATCTTTGGGTTGTGAACAGATTAATCTTTAGACTGGAGATTTTTGCATGTAAAAGTGACGATAAAGTCTGGAGTAAAATGATTCTTTATTCCTTTGAATTAGTTACAGTTTTCAACTAAATTTTTGTTTCTTAGGTTTGGATTACAGTGAAGATGAAGATCGTTACAGGGTAAATGGAGGCGATGAGGAGGTTATACGCAAGACGACTCGATCCATCCGTAGAGAAGTTAAAAAACTGACAGAAAAATGGTCCGAATTGTTACAATTGACTGAACAACGACAACGAAGATTAGATGATATTCTTAGGGTAAGTAAGAGATCGAAACAATTGCCAGTTTATGCTGATTTTCAACTCATAGAAACAATGTAAAGGTTTTCTGGTAAATGCATTTCGAACCAGAAAACACTGAAAATGCACTTCCAACTAAAAATATTTAGACATTTAAGGATTGCTTGGGAATAAAAGGACTTGAAAAATACGAATTTCAACGTTAATGAAAAGCCTTTTCTCCATTAATTAGCATTCTCAGCATAATCTAATGATTCTCTTGTTTCTAATCATTCAATGTTTTGGATTTGGGTTGCTTTTACCTTTCTTTATTAACCTTATTATTCCAGAAAATGATTACACTGCAAAAACAAATGGATGATTTAACTGGTAAACTTCACATGGCTGAGATAAATAAAAGCAAATGGCTACCATTAAATGATATTATATTGGATCGACTTTCAGAACAATTATCCGAGCTTCAGGTTAGTGGTAAAATTAATTTGTATAAACTTGTTAAGACAATTAATCAGCAAGATTTAACCAGAAAAAATTGAGTTCATCTTTGCCTTTTTACATTAATTTTTACTCATTTTGATTAAGCCTACATTTTACCGAGGCTTAATCATTTCAAGCGTTATTTATTAATAACCTCTTCTTTTTTTAATATTCATTTTGTTTCTCTTCTTTTCTCTTCTACCTTTTACCAACAGCTTTTTCGTGATATTATTTATAACTGTCAAATATTGGTTGAATCAATGAATGATACAGCTTCACGAATTACTGGTTCAAATGTGCTTCTTTCTCATGTCAATTTAAACCGTTTGGAGGAATTGAATACTCGCTGGAAGTTGATCCAAGTGGCTGTTGATGAAAGACGTAAAGGATTGGAAGAGGCAATGAAAGATTCCAACTCATCTGTGGGTCAATCCTTTCTCAATGATAATCTTGAACATCCATGGGAACGAGCTGTGGCTCCAAATAAAGTACCTTATTATATCAAGTAAGCTTTATTTTACTTTATTAAACCCGATTCTTTATCCAACCCAAAATGAATAAGAACCTTAAGGTTAACCTTTTTTGTATTTACTCTCTTGTTTACATTTTAGCCATTCAAATGAAACTACTCACTGGGATCATCCTAAAATGATAGACTTGATGAATTCATTGGTTGAATTTAATGAGATTCGTTATTCTGCTTATCGAACTGCAATGAAACTTCGAACCATCCAAAGATCTCTCAATATTGATTACATCCATTTGGGATCATTAATCAAAATATTTGACGGCCATGGACTCCATGGACAAAATGATAAACTAATCAGTGTGCCTGAGATAATTAATTGCCTGCAAACTGTTTACGAATCAACTGTAACCCCATCTGAAGCAGCTCCACTTATCGATATACCTTTATCAATTAATCTTTGCCTTAACTGGTTACTCAATTTGTACGACACGTAAGTAAATTATTTGTTAATTTAATTAAACAGTTTACACAGTTTACAGTTGACTACCTAAAACTGTCCCTTTAGTGTGGTAGATGAAAAGAGCGCGCCTTTCAAAAATTAATATTTGACTCAAGTTGAGCTTTTATTATATTTTTATTATTAACATTTTTACTAATTAAACACAATTTTCTGTTGATTTTATATTATTTAAAGATGTTTTTTCAATTTTTAGTTTACTGTTTATTACAATTTTGATTGGATTTAATTGTTAGGAATTTAGCTTCTTTTTATTTTCCAAAGATGGTGCCTTGGTTGAGAGCAATTTTAAACAGTCACGACAGATGAGTTTTCACATTTCTCATGTTTATATTCAGATAAATCTAATAACAGTATTAACCAGTTTTTGGGAGTGAAACCACTATTTCTTATTGAATGATTTCACCCATTTTCATCAAGAATCCTTCCTCTTCTTTACTTAATCAATTTGAATATCAAATGTTTTATTGATAAGCAATCAAAACATGTGTTAACTGTTAACTCATTTTTGTGACTGCATTTGTCTACTGAATCTAAATGACATTTGCTAAATGTTTGAGTAAAAAAAGATGTTTCAAATTTACAGTTTTTCTTTTGAATATTTCATGAGTAGGAAATGGATTTAATGAAGTTTCTCCATGAAATAGGAGTGTATGAAGATTTCTGATGAAAAATGTTCATTTTCATTTTGATTTACAGCTAGTTTTTTCAGACTAATTTCTCATTTAATGTGAAGACGTAAAATTTCTGGTTTGAGTTACTGACCGTGTGAAATGTTTCATTAATTTTTGCTTCGGATGTTTCTTTTCTTTTTTCAGATCTAATCGTACTGGTTTGGTTAGAGTTTTTTCATTCAAAATTGGTTTGATAACTTTATGCAAAGGAGCTCTCGAAGACAAGTATCGATGTAAATATCAACTTGATAAATAGTGTTTTTCCAACAAATGGTTTCATTCTTTTTGTTTTTTCCTTAATTTGCTTTCTACAGTTATGTTTAGGTTGATTGCCGATGTTCATGGATTCGCTGATGAACGTAAATTGGGCCTGTTATTACATGAATTAATTCAAGTGCCTCGCCTTTTAGGGGAAATCAATGCTTTTGGAGGACCAAATATTGAACCAAGTGTACGATCCTGCTTTCAATTGGCTGGTTACAAGACTGACATTGATTCAACCGATTTCCTAGTCTGGCTTCAACGTGAACCTCAATCAACCGTTTGGTTACCCGTATTTCATCGGTTAGTTGCTGCTGAGGCAGCCAAACATAAAGCTACATGTAATGTTTGCAAGCAATTTCCCATCATTGGTTTTCGCTACAAATGTTTACTCTGTTTTAATTTTGACATGTGCCAATTGTGTTTCCTTTCTGATCGAACCGCTAAAAGTCACAAGATAACTCACCCAATGCAAGAATATTGTCTAACCACGTCGTCCGGTGAAGAGGTTAGAGATTTTACTCGCATCATTTGTAACAAGTTCAAATCTAAATCACATTTTGAGCGTAACTACAACAAGTACAGTTATCTTCCTGTACAATCAACTAATGGTATTCACCATGGTGAACTTGAAGGTGATTGTCTTGACGAAAGTTCACCAATGCACAATTTAACTCATCAAATTCCCGTTGACATGCACTCCAAGCTTGAATTGTACGCAAATAGGTTGGCAGAAGCTGAGCTCAACAATTATTCTGACCAGGTTAACCTAGATGAACAGTAAGTATTATCATGTTCAATCATTCCAAGCAAATCCATACAGAAACAAACAATCAAACCGAACTTGAACTATTGCCTTGTTTTTACTTTACCTTACAGGAATGATGTTGATCACCAGATTATGGGTCAATATTGTCAACCATTGAGCTCCGATTATGCTTACAACTTAAACCAATGTAATCCTGGTCAAATGATGGGTCCTATTGAAACAGAAGATCGTAAAGAATTGGAATCCATTATTTACTCTCTTGAACAAGAAAATAGGTAAAAGCAAAAAAAGCCATTTTCCTTGTTATATTACCAAAAGATTATCCACTTAAATCATCATCAATTAATTATATTGACCATTAATTTTCTTTTGTCCTTTCCATTGCTTTTTATTTTCACTCAGATTACTTCAAGCTGAATATGAAAGGTTAAAAGCTGGAAAGAATCAAGAACAACAACAACACCAACAACATCATATATCAAATGGGAAAGCATATTCAATGAATCATGTTGATGGGTTAATAGGGAACGATTTGGCTGCATATTCATCATCAAACTCAAGCAGAGAGGAAGCTTTAATTGCTGAAGCTAAAGCCCTACGATTAAGGAAAGATGAATTGGAAACGAAAAAGCTTCTACTTGAAGAGCAGAATAAACAATTGGAATCTACTTTGAAAAGATTGAGACAATATTTAAATGGAGAATCTGATGAGATGGTTACAACCAATTTACATACAATCCGGAGTACAGGTTATCCATCCTTTCATCGAACCTCATCAACACCAAGATACTATCACAATACTCATTACAATAGTTCACCATATCGATCTAATCATCATTATCACCATCCACCTTCACCGCCGTCTCATCATCAATCAAACCCATATCTAGATGAAATCAGATGATTGATGTAAGACAAAATGACCAACAAAAAAACAACCAAACCAAAACCAAAAACCAGAAAAAAAACTCCAACACGAACAAAGCTTATTACATTGTTATTTGCCAAAGAAAAGCACCTTTTTAAAACCTAAATTGTGATACACCATTTATCAACATTAACATGTTAACTACAATCAATCATATCGCAATACAATCATAATCAATTGATGAACCAGACAAGCTTACCAGGTTGTTGATGATTTGATTGAAAGTAAAAAAGAAACATTTCATATCAACTACATTTTAACCATACACAATCATTATACCTCATATTGGGATTGGCCTTTGATTTTAAACAAGACAATTAGTATTACAACAACAAAACCATGACAAATCGACCAAGAAAATCAAATGTTATTCAAATATCGATTGTTTTCTTTTTCTGCCAAGTTTTGAGTTAGAATTTGATTTATCTTGTTGTTAATGATGTTACTAGTGGAAGAAGACACCAAAACATATAGTCTATCGAATAGTCTATTCAGTTTCTAATGTTTGGGTGTGCAACTTTGTTTTATTTTCAAATCATTTATCAACTCAACAACAGTTATCGTTAATATTGTTGGACAATTAATCAACTAAAATAGCTGTTTTGAACAAAATCAAAGGATGAAATCAAGAAATAAAGGAATCAACACATGATCATCAACTTCTTTTGCCGTTTCTTGTATTGTTTCCTAACATTTTATATTGCATAAACTTACACTTACACAAACCTTAACCTAAAAAGTCTTGGTAAAAATGTTTCCATTTATGTTTGAATAATTGTACATTTTGCTCTGTTAAATCTTATTTGTTTTAGAAAATAATAAAAATTATTTGATAATCAATGAAAAAAGATCAATTTATTATCTGACAAAAATCTACGCTGAACTTGAGCGTCTTGTGATACATCTTAAGGTCTCATTACTCTGATTTTGTTGGCAACAGCAGCCAAAGCAGTTAGCTGTAATCGGCTAAATATAGATTTGAAGAAATGACATTGAACTTGATTTAAACCTCATGATCTCTACTCATCATCATCCTCATCTCCTCAAAGCTGATCATGATCATTTTTCTGGTTAGCTTTGTATTTTGGTGCAACATTTTAAGTCGATACAAAACCCAAAAGATCAACCAAAGTATCGAGTTAATGTGATCAAGTCTTTGTTTTGTTTTTTTTTCGTTTTCTCAATTTTCTTTCCTAATTTACTGATTTAATAACCAATAATGGTTTGTGATTTTGACAGTTCAATTGAAAAGCTTCCTGATAATGTATTATTCACCATAATCAACAAAGTTCAATTCCTTGATGATCTGTTCAATGTTTGTTTAGGTAATATATTTCAACCCAAAACATATGATTACCGCATTTGCTGATATTTTATCTTTAGTTAACAGACGATGGAATGATCTTGGTCAATACAGATTACAACACATCAAACATTTAATTGGTTTACCAAAAGGTAATTGTAATTAAAGTGATCAATTAACCGTTTTAAATAATTAATGTAATTTAATTTCCTTTGCATGTTACATGCAGATAGTCAAGTTACAATCAAAGATAGAGAGACTCTGTTTTTCAATTCCTCACCGATTCCAAGTTCATCTCGAGTAAAACAAATTTTACCAAATATTCAGGTAATCATGCAATTTCATTTATTATTAATATGACTGAATAATTACATCTAAATTTGTTTTCGCAGACAATTTTAATTAAAGAAAAATTGGATTGTGATAAATTATCAACTGCAGGGACAGCGGTAAGCTGTTGTAAACAAGAGGAGTTCCCAGGCCGGGTAGAGCTGGCATCAGATGCCAAAGGTTTATTCATTTACGATTGTGTCAAGTTAATTTTATATGAGCCCAGTCCTGAGATTGAATTGAATGACCCAGAAGTTAAATATTTGAAAACATTTCTTGATCTCATCGATGTTTATGGCCAATATATCGAATCATTGACTATCTTAACCTTAGACTGTCAACAACTTAAAATTTTGTCAAACCTATTGACAGGTGATAATTGGAAAGGTAACACTTTGGATTTTCCTCTTTGCTCTTTATTCTTGTATCAATGTTCACGATGTATTTACCCTTGGTATCTGTTTGTGTTCACGGCATTTGAACTGTTAATCCTCAACTGTTCATGTTGGCAAAGCAACGTGTTGGCATGTTAGGCGCAATTGTATTAAAAACTTTTGCCATTGAAAAGTTATTAACCTTCCTTTGTATAAATTTTTGTCTGATAAATATTTTAGCTGAATAGTCTTTTCACCTCAAGAGTTAAAGAAAAATGAACCAAAATGCTGAAAGTCAAACATTAGACTTACCTTAAATAATCTTGCGAGTTACTTTAAATTTACAGAATGCAAGCATGAACTTTCCATGAAAAATTGTTCAAAGGTTTTGACCACAAACAGATGCTATGAATTTGAAAAACTTACTTTTATTTACATTACAGATTTGGATGGCAATTATCCTGCGTATCCTGAAGATGTTACCCATCTAACAATTGGTATTCCTGTTTGGTATGATTTTCGTTATGTAACTTTACGATGTCCTCAACTTGAAACTCTTTATTTTTTGGCTCGAGACTCATGGAACCTTGTGACACATCATCAATTTGATTCTTTTCAACATTATAGTTTAAGAAACTTGTTCCTTGAATTTTGGGTAAGTAAATAATCTCGAGACAGATGAAGGTAACGAAAAAAATTAACAACAAGCAATTGACTTGAAATAATGCAACAGATGGATGTAAACAAGATGTCTATTTAAAGCTATACACTCAACATGTACTTTTACTGTTACTGGGTTCCAACAATTGTCAAGAATTGAGTCCATTGTGGATTAAATCTACTCTAATTTCATTGAATGGACAATAGTTGGAAACAAAGAGTGCTTGAAAAGTGCTTGAAGTTGCATTGCAAGTTCAATGTTCTGATTTTTTCTAATGTCTCTTTTTTTATTCTCATCTTTTAGGCCAACGACTATTGTCACATTGATCCATGGGTCTATGTGAAATTATTTCCCAAAATACGCCAATTGGCTATCCGTGATCATCCCAAGCTTGACGATTCTTCCGTTTACTCGCATCTGGTTTCACTCCGTTATCTGGATAATCTTGATGTACGAGGTTGTCCCAAAGTTTCACCTTCATCGACTGAAAAAATAATTTGGAATGCTCAGTGTGATTTACCCCATCGTGTTAATTATTTTTGTGGTCCTTACGAAAGAGTCAATTTTGTCAAAATAAATGCTGACTTTATATTTACTTCTTGGAAACTTGGTTCTGTCAATCCATTTGATTTGTATTCAATGTTGGCTCGACAGTTGTTAAGTGCTGGTCAAAGGCTAACCTAACTCAGCACATTGTCCAACAATTTGGCTTTCACAAACTCTGTATATATTTGCTTATCACGATGTTCATGTCAAATATTTATACATAGATGCGTAAAAATATTGTATATAAATCCTGGAATACCTGTAAAGACCATTTAAGTTTCAGTATCAATCAATAAACGGTTTTTGAATGTGATTTATGCAGTTATTTTAATTGAGGTAATACTGATGTTGTCGGTTGTGAAGAGTACTTTGGGGCTAATCATTACAAGTCGTTTCATGTCAAATACGAATGTACCAATGAAACAATCGATACAAATGGCTGTTACCCATTCACAGAGAGAAGCAATTAGATGCAAGTAATAGCCATCCTCATCTCTGGTCCATTTACGAGGGTTGGTACCATTGAAGCGTCTCATTGCTTCTGGACCAAGGAAAAAGGTTATGATAAAAGTAATTGTTAAAGTGGTTGACAGAAAAAATCTAATGTAACAAATTGGTTTTTCATTGAGATGCGGATAAGATTTAAAAGTTATCCAAGTTTGTAACCAGCAATAGATTCCACCAGAGCAAAAACACATTAATGCACCAGTAAGATGAACTCGAATGAGATTGGTTTCTTGAAAATTGGCCACCATTGACATTCCCAAACAGGCCAATATCCCAATAAGGAAAGATATTTTATTGATGGATAAAAGTAATCTTTGACCATGAATACGATTGTCCTTATAATAATGATAAACTTGCTTATACCTTGGGATAAAAAATGGTAAAAATAAAGTCAATTTCATAAATCCAAATGCTTAGGAGTTTGCTTCATTCAAAGATCAAAATTTACAGAATAAAAGCTTTTTCAATCACTTCAGGAATAAAAACCAGAAAATCTCATGTACTATCTGAAAATATGCTTATAAGATCATCATTAGAAACATCTGAGATTTTTAACATGGAAGATTTGGTAAATTTTTGTATCTCGGATGTTAAAATCTCTCTGAATTTTCAAAAACCTATTTATTTCTGAAATTTTATCCAATTTAATCTAATGAAATTATGATGATTGAATGTAGCAAAATCCGAGACTTGTTGATCATCTTGTAATGTATGTGAGTAATAACTGGATCAATACCTGAAATAAGTTGTGAATAGATATAAAACGGCCACAATGTTTAGCAATTGGGCAAATACACATGATTCTGGACTTGTTGTTCCCGTGTCACTTATATATGGAAATTCTGGACTTATATTGCCATCAGTAACTGATAAAAAATACCTGAAAACAATGATAAAACAATAAAGATTGCTATTATTACCAGTATTTCCCAAGAAAGTGTTTAAGGTTAAAAGGTGATTTCGATTGAAACTTGATAGCTATTATTGTATTAGTAAGCAAAATGTAAACTTGAATCCATTTACTAGATAATTAATGATTGATTGACTGATTTCAAGGTTAATCAGGATTAGCAGGCAACGTACTTTGAGCTGTGAAATTGAATAAACATTTTTACCATATTAAGCTATAAAAAATGGAATAATGTTATTAAATTAAAAAAAAATTTAAAGGAGTAACAGCAAGAGTTTTTAGTTGGCTCAGCTCATCAATTATCGCATTTAGAACTATTTAATTTATATTTGTTTGTGAGATTGTAAATGGAGTATAAGAAGGGGTAAAGTTAAGATGAAATTGGTTAACTCACGTTGTGATGAAAGTCGCTGGTAAAAGTATTGAGGCAGCCAAAGGCACCCAATGAACATTAGTCCAAGCCATTTTAGATTCACTGACTTATCTTTGGCAGTTGGACCGAGTCAAGTGATCGAAATTATTCAGTGGGTAATCATCTGTCTTAACTATTGAGAAACACGACTTTCCTGGTTAATATGACAACTTCAATTATAATCACTTTAATTGGAAACACTTTTTTAACCACTTTAATGGGAAACTTATGAGTATTACCAGCCACTTATTATCAACACAGTTGAAGTTGAGTGAAAGCAAACTGGAAATGAAACGAAATCATCTATTCAGGGCCATCCAAGTGTATTAACTAATCTACTCGTTGATAACACAATAACTGATTAAAGATATGACTCTATTTATTATGCGAATATTGTAGCTTTAAAACTTGGCTTAATCAGTTTAAGGCAAAGAGTTACTCTTTGGTTTAAGGGGAAATGTGATTAAACTCTTGTTTTAAGACAAAAACTTGGTCAAATCGAGACAAAGGTGAAAGGATATATTATTTGAATTGACACGCATAAAGGCAACTTTAAAGCTACTGATTCTGTTTCAAAAATATTTAGTTTTTGGTTAAAATTTCCATGAATACTCGGTTAAAAAGGATGGTTCAAAATTTTTAACTTGTGATTTTAGAAATGACAACATAAGAATCAATATTTACAGAGTTTCCATTTTTTATTTTCTTGCATTTGAACCGAGATGGCAAAAACGGTCACTTGGTCGATGATGCATTGTTAAAACAGTCATGATAAATTAAAAATTCAAGATGAAAAATTTCAACCAGTCGTCAAACAAGTCCATTATTGTATCACTTGTACATGTAGTTCTGAATCTATGTACCATCAGTTATTGTACGATCTATACAAAAATAGAATCATGAGATTTCCGATTTACCTAGAAGACCTCAAATGTTTGGTGGGCGATCAACTCCGACTAGTGATGAACATTTTCATCGAGAATGATAAGTACAAGTAATTGATCAAAATGATGAAGTTAACTTGGTCGGTATGGAGGTCGAGCCACTCATATTCACATCGAAGTTTATTCTCGAAACACGAAGAATTATTTCTGAATTCAACCCCGAATTATAAATGATATAAACTTATCTGATCCAATTTATTAATTTATAATTCAATAACTTTATTCTTATGAATCATTCGCTACATCAGGGATTGACTGCACAATGTTCAGACGTGGCACTATATTGGTAAAAAAAATTGTCATGAATAAATGAGTTTTATTATTTCAAAATTTATTTTAATACTGTATTACTAATAAAATTTAAACTTTAAAATCAATTAACATGAAGGTTATCCGAGTTGAATTTGTTTAATCAACTATTGTTAATGACTAGTGTTCGGAATGAACGGGGCCCGAGAGTTAAACCAACTACATTTTCGGCAAATCCTTCAATAGTCAAGTTGGCAGCATAATCATTGTTGTTTACGGTAATAACAACAAGTTGATTTTCTTCAGTTTTAAATACAGTCGATCTAACATTATCATCTGGATTAGTAACTTTAAAACCTAATCTGGTTGATCCTGGTTTCAAAAATTTACTGAAATGAGCCAGTGCATAGTACATCGGCTGCTTATAATATTCTTGTTTTTCAGCATTCACAATTATCGCAGCATCGGCAAAATTTGATACCCAGTTAGGTCCACCAATCATGTCAAGAGCAAGATTCCAATCTACCCAACCTGAACTCCAATGATTCATATTTCCAACTAAATCATTTACATATTCTTCACCTCTGCTCCATGAACCTAACTTCACTGTGGATTGGAGAAGAAATGTTTAGAAAAAGATATTAGTTCTGTACCGAATTATGATTGATTAAAAAATTGTATAAAATGAATAACATTCATTACCTTCTGGATTTTTATAGCTCAAACCAGTACATGCTTCAGTCTATAATATGAAATAATCTGGATAAAATTGATGAGTTATGTCGAATTGGTCGAAACCAAACTGTGCATTTTCATACCAATGAACAGCAATACCAGAAACATATTTTGATGCAATTGGGAAATTTAAGACTCTTGCTGCATAACGAAATAGTAATGATACATTGTCATCAAGTATCATTAATTTAAGCTTATCCTTGCCATAGCCTGCAGCTTCGAGGTTTGGGCCAAGATCTTTATATATCCAGAACATCATTTGCTCAGGAGATAATCCAAGACAGTTGAAAGGGTAATAAGGATTGAAACCAGCACCTGGTTCGTTCATAGTAGTCAATCCCCAAAACTCAAGTCCATGCTTCTTATATTCGTCTAAAAATCTGAAGAGTGAGAAAATATTCAGATGGTTATATTAATTATTGTTATGCATTGATAGAATTATCTGGTTGGTTCAGAATGAATGGAATGGAAGATAAAAGGATAATGCCAGATTTTCAAAAAGGCTGAGTTAACGAGATAATGAAGCAAGTACAGAATCCCTATGGTTTTCATATGTTAAATTTTAAGAGTAACAAGTGATACATACTTTACAATGTAATTGGCCATTGCTTTGTAATAAACTTCTCCTGGATCACCAATCAAGATTCCTGTACCATTTATCCTTTGTTGATATTTCATCCAAGCTGGAGGTGACCACATGCTACCAAATAATTTCAAGCCTCCAGAAAAATCATTTGCTAGTTTAATATAAGGAATCTGTTGTTAAGGTGTAAATAATGAAAAGATATTGAAAACATTGAGTGTCATGAGTGGATAATCACCGTTTATGGCATAATAATTTACCTTGTATTCTAAATCCTCTTCAGCCAGTGCGAAATGAGTCCAGTTCAAATCTTGGTAATCATCTTGATAAGTGTAAGGACGAGTTGAAAAATCAGAGCCACCAATGGGTACTCGACCCATGTTATACTCCAATCCATCTTTACCAAAATAATCTCGAGTCAGGTCCAAGACCAATTTATCTGGAAGTGATTTAATGTTAATTCCAGCAGCATCGGTAAAAGCACCACCAAAACCAATAATTTGTTGATAAGTTTCGTTAACATTTATGGATAGTTTAATGGAATCAGCTGTAACTGTATTAACAAGCGTCTTAGGATCTAATGTATCTTTATGGAATCGATGCTCATCTCTATCAGATACATAAGAGTAAATTAACCCTTTTGGTGGATTAGTCACTGGTTCAAATGAATCACATTCAAGTTCATTGCAAACACAAACGAAAGAATCTTCTTTGAATTTTCTTTTATGGCAACCATCAGTTTTGACTGTGTTGATGAAAAGTAACAAAACTATTGTACATGGAAGTAATCTATCCATGGTTTAACTCGGCGAAATCCAAGTCAATTAATATCTTGAATTTGAAAAAGTTCCAGCAATTTATACCTAGATTACTTACTTAATCTAAAAATGATTGATCTTTAATTGGTCTGACAAATGGTAAGTACAAATAAACAGTGTGATAAGAATTGAAATTAACTGGAATTCAAATTGTCATTGTCAGGCAATAATAATATTATCAAGAAATCAAAGGATCACTGGTAAAGTAAACTAGGTTATTAACAATTTTCTGTTCAGTGCAAATAATTTTATAATGATCAATTTAGCACTAAATAAATTTTTATTAATAAATTCCCATGAAAATTAACGCCTCAAAGAGTTGTCGATCAGTTTGTACTAAAAATTTGATAAATACAATGGAATTCTCATGTTTCAAAATTACAATGAATTTTCCCGATTTTTTTGTACTGTCCTTACGACAGAACTGTCGTGACCTCTAATAATGCTACTTCGTGAGATTTACGTGCTGGCTATTTTTCTCTTATATTTAGGTTGAATAGCCTGTTTATGGTTGCTTATCTAACAAAAAATTAATCATTTAATTTTGAGATTTCTTGATGTTTTAGACAATTCGTGTAATATCCCGAATTAAAACCAGTATTTATTTACAGTACAGTATTTGTGAATAAAAAAACCGTTGAATCAGTTTTTTTCATAATCTCTTCAGCGCTCTTGCCATACTTTTTAAAGGGTGTAACGCGTAAAAAGTTTAAATTATCTTACAAGGGAAGTTACCCAAGTGTCACTCCTGGATTTTGATGTTTGATAGCTCATTCGATAGGGCCAAGCGATGGGATAAACGGGTTAATGGGTTTCGTCTGCGAGTTGTGTGGTTCCTAAGATATTTGGGTTTAAAATTTAACAATTTTTGATTTAATTAACATTAAAATTAGGTAAAAGTGTGAGCTGTGGTGAAAGGGTTAGCTTGAAGATAAGGTGTTTTGGGTTCGAATCTCGCTTGTGGCTTTTTTTGTTAAACTTTTTATAAGTTATTTTTAATTAATTTTAAGGTCATTTAAGGTCATTTTTTACGTTTTCATATTTTTGATGAATTTTATTGATCATTATGGATATATTGATAATCAATGCATGTGCATAGGATCAGTACAGTGTTTGACACAGAGGAAAGTTTGAAAATATGAAAAATTTGTAAAAATTAAGAGTTCACAACGCATTTTTCTACAGATACATCAAAGTTCACCTCTAGAACATTTTGGGAGCCATTCAATGTTTTTGGATTGTATATCCTGATGCTTTCCATGCATACAATAACATGTCTCTGTAAATTGGACTTGACAATTGATTGTAAATGAAAGCATGCATGCACATTATAAAAACTCGATCATTCAATCGTTCAATAGCTTGATCTTCTAAAGCTGACTGAACAGCATCTTGAAATCTTCAAACAAATAATTTATATTGTCTGAAAAAGTAAACATCTAATGGTTGACAATATTTGGTCGCTTTCGGTGGAATTGTTTCGATTCTAAGGTAAGTATGCTTCTCTACTTTCCTTTGAAAGAGACTAAAATCTTTCTGAGCTGACCAAGAATCTTGAATAAGCACCGTTCTGTCCTGAACATAAGGATTCTCACATTTTGCAATCCAATATTCGAGTGTATTTTTTTTCATTTTTCCACTGGAAGTGCATGTAACCACAATATTTGCAGGTTTACTACTGTCAATTTACGATTGAACTTGAGGACCAAACCTGCCATTTGGCTCCTGAAAGCAAATGAAAAGTTTTGGTGCTAGTTTACCTGAATTCGCTATGAGTACTTGTATTGTATACGAGTGTCATATGGAGTTGATATTTTGGACGATTGCTAATGTATCTTTTTCACCCTTATCACTCAAGGTCCTAGCAGAAATCAACTCATGATTGAACCCTGATTGATCGGTGTTCCAAACATTGTCATCATTACGAGCACTTTTTGCAGAACTGATTTTTGCAGCGAAATTTATAGCCGATTGGCGAACTTCTTTTTCTCTTCTGGCAGTTCTTTTTGTTACAAATTTTGTAATTTTACTTGAAATAATCCGATATTCATCCTTAAAAGATTTCATAAACTTTGAGCTAGCTGTAAAATCAGATGTGTATCCCAAAGTTCTTGCAGATTCTATCGCTCAAGTTGCCAATTGATCACCGTGAATTGAAGATATTTATCTCGTTGACTACGATATTTCGCATACATAAGAGCATGAATACTTCTCAATTTTGTGAATCTGTTTCCACCTTCATTGACGAATTGTATTATCCGCATAAGTTTTCGATGAGAACGGTTCAATGTTTTATATCGTTCATATCATTTGGTTGCTCCATATTTTTCATACCAATTTTTGATCTCTGTCATTGGCTCTAATGTATACTCCTCATGAAGTGGCTTTTGTTGTTTTTAACTGGAGAATTTTTTAAACCTCGTTTTCAGATGTCGATGGAGCAGTTTCATCATCAGTTTCTGCTTCTGTGTCTAACCAGAATCAGAATCAATATCACCATCTTCATTACCATACAAATAGTAATCTTCATGGAGTTCAAGTGAACCTTGAGATTTACATTGAATAAGATACCAAAGAAGAGCGGAGAATTGTTTGTCTTCTTCAGCTACATCTGATGTCGTAAACTTATGCTGGTTGCAAAAATTTTGCAGCAATTTAACAATATTGAAAGGATTAATCATTTCTGAAAGTTTATGGTATAAATGAAATTAGAATCTCAATGTTGAAAAACAAAGGAGGGTGACAGGTAGCCTATGTAAAATTGCCCATTGTGAGCCAGCTATTTGATAGTGCCATTCGATAGAGGACATATGAACAAGCAAAAGTCCCCACAGGCATAAATTTCCCAGTGTGGACTTGTGGCATGAAAAACGCGTTCGGAAGTCGGAAAAATAACATCGAGATAACATCTTTTAATAAATATTCGAGGCTTATAAACGATAATTTAACATGCCTTTAAGTTTATTTTTGCAAACAATACTCCGTTAGCTAACTAACTAACAAGTAATTGTAAGTATTTGTGTATTAAAGTATAAGGAGTTGCCAGATTTGGCATGAAAGTCAGTGAGCCAGAGATTTTATAGAGTTTTTTGAGATGACCTTGCAACTGGACTATGTTTGGTAATTGTCATTTCGGACTTTCACGTATTTCTGGAGTTTGTCAACTTTCACCCCGGTGCTGCCTATTCTTAAACATGCGTGAGCCAGAGATTTGATAAGGTTTTTATAGGTTTTTTAGATGGGCTTTCATCTGGACTATCTTTGGTTATTTTTAATTCAGACTTTCGCGTATTTCCAGAGTTTGTCAGCTTTCACCTTGTTTTTTGCCAGAGCTCCTTTAGTATTATCCAGTCATCACCACGAGGAGGCGGAGTTGGACTTCTAATGACCACGACTTACAAAAGTGCTAAATTACCTTACGCGTCCATTAAAGATGCATCAGGAGGTACTGAAATTGAGAATCAAC